GAGAGAAACGACCACCACCCCGCTGGGACAGGATGACGGTGCTGTTAGAGTTCCCAGAGCCAGCTCTCCCCACATCTGTGCGGCTTTTGTCCTGGGGCAGAGGAGGATTTGGAATGGTCTGCTGGCAGCGTCTGGGAGACTAATGGGAAATGAGGTCCGGGGAGAGAGAGGCCATGGAGAGGTGGAAGGAATAGCAAAGGGGATTTGGATGCCTTGATGTGGGAAGCAAACTAAAGGGTGCACGTGACAAAGGACACATCATACAGAATACAAGGACAGTATCAATGACAGGGTTGTGCCAGCAAAAGCTGGGGTGTCCAGTGGGAGAGCCAGTGGGATGAGCACCGGGCAGCAAACTTGCAGTTTGGAAGGCTTGACTGCCTAACCATGCTGTTCACTTTCTCGTGTTGGGAGCTTTGTGAAGTTTGGCTTCCTCTCGCATTCCCTGGCTTTCGCCCGAATGCTGATGTGTGTATCCTCTTAGTACATTTTCCCCCTTATTTTTTGGACCATTTCCCTATGTAGCACAGTCTTTTGAATTCATGTTACCTTTATGGATCTTTCTCTGAGAAAAAATAGGATGCTGGCTGGGATCCACATTGATTTTTAAAGGTCTTCATTCATTTATTAGGAAAAAAATGAATTCTGCCCCCATGAACTTTTGAGAAAAAATATTATAGTGATAGTCACTGCTAACTTTTATGGTTCTAACTGCTTTGTATGTATTAACATATTTAATTCTTACAACAGTTCTACATAGTGAGCTCTCTTATCTCCATCTGACAGGTGGAGACAGCTGAAGCATAGTGACGTTAGGTTACTTGCCAAGACTTGTATGTAGTATATGGTCTCTGCCCTCCATAGTTCTAAAACCTGGTGAGGGCAATGAAACACGGATAAACAACCACAATGCAGGGTAGATCGATAGAGGTATTATATGCAGGGCTCCAGTGACAACTGGTGCAGAGCTGTGGAGGGGCAGTGATCGATCGTCAGCCTCTGAAAGTTTCATGGAGAAATTTGCACACGTGTCCCTTCAATCAGGACTTAACAGTTGTTTTCTGGTGTAGGTCAACTGTGGGACTGAGTGTGGACATTGTAATAAACCCTAGGAGGGACAGAGAACCAAGACGTCCTTTTATATTCAGGGAATAAATGTGAGTTCACTGCTAACAAAGTCATGGTATTCCTTCCAGTTCCCTAAGGGAGATGGCATGATATCGACAATCAGACCATATGCATACCTAAAATATGCAATAAGCCTTAGATCCAAATAGTCACCATGGATATAAACTGGAAGAATTCCATCGTCTTTTCTTTCTCTTGGGCTCTCCCTTATGAGTGAGACTCAAATTAACTTTCCAAAAATCATAGATGCTATTTTTTTAAAATACTTTTTCCTTTAAAGAGAATTTGTGAGGTCTGGGCAGATTATTTTTTTGTCTCTCTGGCCATGCCCCCTTTCTCCAAATTGTAAGATTGGAGAATCAATGCTACTAACCCGCACGGAGCACTACTAAACAGCACAATATACTATTGAAGGAGCTCCCAGCAGATCACTGGAAGGGAGGGAACCTCCAGCCTGTTCCTGGGCTGCACCTGGCACTCAGGCCTCTTCTTATTTCCTCCTCTGCAACCCCCTCTCACCAGCATTATGCAAACACAGTTATTTTAAAGCAGGTTAAAACATTACTAGAAAATGTACCTGTACTATTAAAAATAGCTCCACACTCCCACCTGTCATCAATTCGCTGCCACCCTTGCCTCTCCATTGGTGATTTGCCTGACAGTGTTCAAAACGTTCTGCTCTTTGGTGATTATATGTATTGATGGGCAGATGAGGAAAGTTTGGGTTAATTAAGTCCATCATTCCAGAGCCCATTCCATTCCTGAAACCTGTAATTGGAGTTTTGTTAGGTTTTAATTAAGAGCAAGAATGTCTCATTTTAGGAGCAGCACCTCTTCCTCTCACCTCTGTCAGCTGCCGAGGATTAAAAGGAGAGAAGGGGAGGGTGATAAGCAGCTACAGGCATGCCTGACTCAGAAACTGGATAATCAGCTCTGCCATTGTTCTGGGTTGGCTGCATTTATGGCGATTCTTGTGAGACCCTTGAGGAACAAGGTCCCTTCTCTTCCTTGTCCCCACGTTCAGAGTGTCAAACAATGGCGGTTTGGCACTGATGTAGCTGGTCCCACAGCCTCTCGTTACATGGTGGCATGGACCTTGGAGTTGGTGGACCCACCGTGGGTGCAGCTCTGAGTGCTGAATGAAGGGGGAAGGGGGTGAGGCCTCTGGTGCCCAGATAAGAATGCACTTAGCAGTGAATGGTGGGAACAGAGCTGCTGGAGTGGAGTGGGGCTGGGGTGCTCCTATTCATGGAATTCCTTTGCAAATGAATGGCTCCAAGGGTTGGCTGAAGGTGGCAGGCACTCTCTTTGGGGACCACTGTACATTGTAAGCGTCCTTGTTCTTGACCTTGTGGAGAATGCCCTGCCAACAGTTGAAGGGGTTTGGAGTATTGGTTCTCAGGACATAGCATTTGAGTCAACAAGTGGCTTCAAAAGTGAATGGAGGTAAATGCAGAGCCCAGTACATTTCCTCCCTCAGCTGATGCTCCGCATCGCCACTTAGCGTAACCTGCTTAAGTCAGAGAATAGGACACTTCCGATCTAAACTTGCATGTAGCGTGCCAGCTCCCATTTTAAGCCTATAACTTATATTGACTTATGAAACCTCACAAGAATCCTGTGAGATACATATTATCAATCCTTCTCTAATGTACGTGGCAATCAAGAGACCTAGAGATTAAATGAACTGGCCCAAGATCCAGTAAGTGGCAGGTAGAGCCAGAATTTTGAAGCAAGGAGGTTCAGCTCTAGTACCCATCACTACATGGTACTGCCTTGCACTTCTTTGGGTGTTTGTTGTGGTCATTATCGTTCACGTTTCCTTAGAACCACAAGACTGAGGAACAAAAATAAATGCATTACGTCTTTTTGAATCCTTAATGTAGGATAGGTGCTAGAAAAATAATAAATGAAAAATAATAAATATTCTTACACGGCAAGGATTTAGTATAATTCATTTAGGGAGACAAGGCGTATGAGTGAAAAGCAAATACATAATACAAGGGTGGAACCAAGTAAGTGTTACGAGAGAAGGAGTTCAGAGAAGGGATAGATTCTTTCTGTCAAAGCTGGTCGTTTCAGAAGACCTTGTCACAGACTGGGCTTTAAAGGACAGGTCAGACTTAGGTATGTGGCTAGAAAAGGGAAGGCTGTTCTGGGTCGGGAGAGTGGAGGGAAGAAGCTCTCTGAGCTGGGAGAGCCCCAGAGAGAGGCGGGTGATGGCACAGTTACCAGTTGAGCTGATATGAAGAAATGGAACCTGGAACAAATTGAGGAAGGGTATTTCCAGGTGAAAGACTGCAAACTTTCATGGTTGAATACTTGGCAGTAAGCAGTCAATATGCTGAATTAGAAATCTGAATGATGAGAGACCTTCTCATTTTTCTTAGTACCTGTTTCTGAATGCTAATTATGCTCTAGGCAGAGACCAATTAGGAAGCCTATTTGTCAAATAGGACAAAGAGGAGAGACAAATAGGGCAGAGGATGCAAGGGAAGATTCACCTGGCCTAGACGGCCAGTAGATGTGAAAGAGGAGGCAGCTCTTGGATGACCAAGAGGATTGTGAAGGTCCCATGGCATCTTAGTCATCTTCTTGGCCAGTGACTTTCATGGTTGGGAAGTCCTAATCTCTCCCCTTTCTTCTTTTTATGTAATAAGTAATCATAAAAGCAAATTTTCAATTATAATGATATCCAACAAGACAGAGAGCAAATCAATAGGATCATATTTTTAAAGACTAAAATGCTCAATACCTAGAACTGTGTTTGGCATGTCCAAGCACATTTATTCATTAATTCAACCAAACATGTAAGCATCTGCTTGGTACCAGGCTCTATGCCAGGCACCAAGGAAGGATGTAGTGGTGAACAAGGCGTAAGCCACAGCTTCCAGGGGGTTTACCACAGTCTAGTTATGGAGAGAGACAAATCCGCAGGTGGTTTTATTATGGTTTAAATGTCATGATCACTAAAGTAATTACATATCCCCACCTGTCTGGGACAGTCTCAATTTGGATGATAAATTATGTTACCCTCCCAAGTACAGGACATAGGGTTAGTGTACAAAATGAGGGGGCACGTAGGCAGGACATTTAATGCAGTATTTGGAGTGGGGGTTGCAGAGGGCTTTATGGAAAATGTGTCTCAGCTGATACCCGTAGACTGATTAGAGTAAAGGAGGGTTGGGGAAGGAATCACTGGTGCAGAAGGTGGAAAGGTGGTCATTCCAAGCATTGTTTGCAGATTGAATGATTTAATTGGTGAACAAATAGAACATCATCAGTGCACAAACTCATCAGCCATCTCAGTTCCTAAGGAAGCATCTATAATCATTTGCTGTGCATAACATTTCTTCCAGGTCTTGGAAGGGAAATTTTATGAAAAATATAATTTTACTCTGTTTCTAAAATATAGATATTGGACTGGATGATATCTCTGGTATCTTGTAGCTTTAAAATTATCCAGTATAAAACCCCGTCTTAAACAACCTGCCTCTGGGGAATGATAAACAATCCTTAAAGCCCACTGAAGTGTCCCCATTCCCCCAAGGTAACCACTTAGTTATTTCTCACTTATTCTATTCTGACTAATTTTATGTCTTCAACCTGATTGAAAGCTGCTTTAAAAGCATAGGCTGTATCATTCCACACATATCGGTTGGTGGCGGTTGGGAGGTTGGTGAGTGGGAATAGAGAAATCCATTCTTTTGGGGGGGGTGGAGCAGGGGAGGTGGTCTTAATATCCCTTGCACCAAATGACTCTACTTTATTCAGCTTTCCAACGTGTTTTAATTCTGTGACTATAGATTTTTTTGTTAATGTTTTAGTTTCTGAACTTATTTTTGATGGCATCTTGTTTTCCTTCTTATTTAGGACCTTCCGAGTTATTGGATATGGCAGACAGCGAAACGTGAGTGTTTCCTTTCATTACATAGTCTAGATTATTTTCTTTAGAACATATCTGGGAGAAGAATGTAGCCTATAGAGCATACAGCAGATAATTTAAATGTCAGTGATAAGAAGTTCACTTTCAATTGTATTTATAACTGTGCAGGGCTAATCTTCTAAATCAAAAATTACACAATAAAAATTGATGACAAGAATCAATAATGGTTGCACGCACAGTCATTGCTAGTCATCATTTAGAGCTTCCTATAGGCAAGGTAGTTTTGCACTGATGCATCTTGGACTACTGAGAAGTCTAGATAAATACATTTACCTTTTTTATTTACTCTTTCTCAACTGGGGTTTGTGAGAAAATTAAGTCCTAATACCCTACGGAATCCTTTGTTTGTAATGAAACCTCTATACCGGGTCTGGAATGGAACTAGGTATATACAACCATTGGAGAATTAAGACTATAGTAAATCCAATCATTTTTATGTTCTGTGGTTCAGGAGAGAAACTCCGGTTGAGAAGGTCATCTTCTCTCGGGTGGTCCCCAAACTGATAATGTTTGTTTTCAACATTTTTATTCCTAGGGCAGCAAAATAGCTCCTACTCCCCAAGTAGGAACAAAGAAAGGCTCACCGTCTCACCCTGAAAGCCATATAAGAAGCACTATAAAACTTCAAAGACATTTGAAAAGAGATAAAGATGGATGGGGAGTAGTTAAGTAGGTCTGGAGGAGGAAAAGTAGAAATGAATAGAATGGAAGCTGAGTGGAAAGGGTAGAGTTCTATAGTTATGACTTACTAGACAGGGAAGACACTGTCGTGACAGAGAGTTTGTCCACATACCACATCCTATTGACAAAGTTGTCATGAACCCGTTTGTTCTAAGGACTACATTTGATTTTCCACATGCTTGGCATTAAGCATCTTTTCAATTTTGGACTCAGAATGGAAACCTCCTCCTCCCTAGACTGCCCATTAGAGGGGGTAGAAATGGCTACTTTGCTTTGCCCTCTTCCTATACTGAGTGGCCTATGGCCAACAGGGTAGAGCTTGTGTTCCCAGCTCTCCCAGATGTCCTCTGCGGCTGCCCGCACCCTCCCACCTGCCATTCGCATGAAATCAGTAGGTAGGGCGGCTTGTGTTGACCTGGTCCTTCCACGCCGAGTCCCCCAGAGATACTCCACGGAGGGCCAGATGGTGGTCTGCCAAGACCTGTGTGAGGTGCCTGAGGGGCCTGTGGTTTTCCATGCCTGCCCCGTGTGTACTTGATCCGGTGCCCCTATGTTCTGCCCACATGTGTCCACAGAGAAAATCATTCCACCGTGCTCAGACCCATCTCTACACATCAGTTTGTTGAACAGTGCCATGGAGTGTTACCTAAATCAAACGTCGGTGGTTGAAAACAAAATCACTCAGCCTAGTTAACACTGTTGAGACAGGGATTGGAGTTCTGGTTCGTTGATGACTAACTGAAGGCATTTTTAGACACCCCCTCATCCGCCTCCCCAGAATGTGCCCGGATCTCAGCTGCAGATCGAGAAGGAGGCGGATGAGCCCAGAACCTCAGCAGCAGGGATAGGAAGCTACCCTCACCCCCTCCCTGCAGCCTCCAGCCCCGCCCCCACTCCCGCCCCCGCCCCCAACTCCTTTATGGGTGGTTTCCCATTTCCTCTTTGCTTTAGGGGTGAGACCGCCCTGCACAAGGCTGCCTGCCAGCGGAACCGGGCCGTGTGCCAGCTTCTGGTGGATGCGGGAGCATCTCTGAGAAAGACGGACTCCAAGGTAACCTGATGAGTGAGTGCAAACATCCTCCTCCTGGGCAGGATCACCGGCACCATTGCCTTCACTTGTGCCCAGGGCAAAGGCATCCTTTCTGTGCTTATGGAAGTGCCTGGGGCTTTGGAAAAAAGGAGGAAAAAATAAAGTGCTTCATTTAGAGCAACTGTAATTTAAATGTATAAGCACAAAGGGAAGGGTGTGTGCTTGCCTATGGGACTTTATAAACCTCTGAATGTGCTGGCCTTGGGACTTTGGGGTTGTCCTGCCGAATGCCAGCAGCCAAGTTGCGGGGAGGTGAGGTTCAAAGCCCTAGGAGAGGCGTAGAAGACATTGGCCTGCTTTGGAATTTCTCCTTCAGTGGCTTTATCTAGGGGAGCTTCCGATCTGTGGTTTACGGGTGCCTGGGTGATTAGCCGCCGCTGTCAGGATGGTCAGCCCGGACTTGGAGAGGTTACAGCCTTAAATCTGGTGCCTTTACGTTGGCTTTTTATTTTTAAAAGTTTCTTCCTACTTATTTTCTTATATTTTTCCCTGAAAGTTAACCCCTGAAGTTAGGGTGGGAATTTCTCTCATCGACGTGGAAACTGAAACCCAAAGAAAGCTCTGTACCCTTAGACCAGGAGCTGAGCCCAAATCCAAATTTAGCTCTTTTGACACCCAGCGCAGCAGATGAGTTGTTCTCCTGTGGTGACAGAACACCCCCCTGGATCCAATGGGATGAAGTGTGGCAACAAAGTCATAAAGTGGGTTTTTCTTGAATGGTTTGGATCATGTCTTTGCCTTACAGTGGTACTTACGGCATCGTGACTTGAAATGTGGTTGGTTCCCCTGCAGCAAAAGGCATGTCAATCTGGCTTTAAAGTGTGTTAGTGTCTTAAGGAGAGGACGGTGAGGCCAGAAACTGATAGAGTGACCTACGGTGCCGACCTTGACCGGAAAGATGCCAACAGGTAGAGGTCAGGCATCAGGAGAAACTCCGTTCAGGAGACCTGAGATCAGGCTGCACTGTGAATTGTTCATTTACAGAGAGCACCGAGGAAAGGGCTGAAAGCTGGAGCAAAGGAAGAGGTGTAGCTCAGTGGTGCAGCCTGGGGACTGCAGCCCAGGAGAAGGGAAGGGCGGGGTGGAGGGGGGTGGAAGACGGTTAATACCTCGGTGCCGCAGGGGAGCCTGAGCAGCCCTGGGTAGGTGCTAAGGACAAACCGTTTAACTGTAGAGGGTTGCAGAGAAGAATTTTAATATAGAGATGAGGGTTTCATTAAGCTAAGGCACTGAATAGCCTAAGTTTGGGGCTGATGAATGTAGCCAAGGAACACAGACATATTCCCCATGAGACCTCTTTAAGGGATGAGCAACTGCTTATGTGCAGTTTTCACCCTGGGGGTTCCTCAAACTGCAGTGAGTGCCATAAAATAACTTTATCTCCTGTGTGGACCTCTTTTCCTTCGACCCCAGTTCTGAGCCAGCTGCGTTGCGTGATTCTCCACGCCCCTGCAGCCCACCGGATCCCTGCTCTCCGACGGAGGACCCTGGCCACCTGGGTTCCTCCTCCCTAGGGCTGTGGGACATGTTAAGCTGGTCTGTCACCTGGTTAGCTAAGTGGGTATAGGATTTCAAGTGGCAGATAAGTGCTCCATGTGATATTCTTCCCAGATGATATTTGCGCTTAAACTCTTCGTCGTGTAATTCGATGGAGGAACACAAACCCTATAGACAGGATCAGGGGAGGCCTCGATTTCAGGTAGGTTTGGCTTGTCTGGGGCCAACTCACACTCCAGCGTGGCAGTTGCCTATTGACCACACAAAAGACTGCTCTCACACTCACCTCAGGAAATCAAAAGAAAAGGAGGAGCAACCTGAAAGAGACAAACAAAAGACTGGGCAGGAGACCTGGCCCCTGAGCAGATTGCTCTTTTTTATCTTTCTAAGTTTCTGAATCAGATAAATGGGCTCAACATGCCTTGAGATTGCTTCCTCTTTTGTGTTATGTATGTGTGTGCTTTTTTTTCAAAACACAGCTTCATTAATTTTATGATTATAAATACAGTGCATTCTTATATAGAAAACTCAAGCAATGCAAAGATATTCTTCAAAGATAAAAATCACTAGAAATCTCACACTCTAGACCTGTATACTATTAAAATTTTAACAATCTCTCTTCACATGTAGGTATGCCTGTTTTTCTCTCTCATTTTTTTTTTTTTAGTCGGTGAAGTCATACTATTCATGCTATTATAGAATGCTTATGTTCCCCCAACATTGTGTTCTAGAGGTCTTACTGTATGAAATAGTCTATGCTTCATCCTTTTGGGAGACCTGTTAATTTTCCCATTTTGTAATTTTATGCTAAGTTAAAGCAGAACATGATAATTATGACTGGATCTTTTCCTAGATTTTTTTTTGCGGGGGGGAGAAGCAATATCTTGAGAATTTCTCTTGATGAGAACAGTTCCTTTAAAAATCAACTCAAGGGCCACTCCAGTCCACCTCTCTGAATACTTGGAAGCTAGTAATTCCAACCTCATTAATATTGAAGATCAGATAATCTACTAATACTATAAACAAGTTGGAAAAACTTATATAGGAACTTTAAGCTAGTGGTTCAATATTAAATCCCAGATAAATAAGTAAAATTTTAGAAAGAATCCAGAGCCACTGTTACTTTCCTTTTATTCTCTACCCACATACCCTTGTAAGCTACAGGCTTAGTTGAGCTTGACACTCTCCATTGCAGTGACTCAGATGGAGGCTGAGAAGCCTTCAGCAATTTTCGTAAAACTCGCGTGCATTTATACATGGAGCTATTTCTTTGGTACAATGTTCATGCCTCCATCTTTTTGAATTTAATATCACTTTTTATTTTTTTATTATTTTTTTAAGATTTTATTTATTTATTTGACAGAGAGAGACACAGCGAGAGAGGGAACACAAGCAGGGGGAGTGGGAGAGGGAGAAGCGGACTCCCCACTGAGCAAGGAGCCCGATGTGCGGCTCGACGTGGAGCTTGATCCCAGGACTGTGGGATCATGACCTGAGCTGAAGACAGCCGCTTAATCGACTGAGCCACCCAGGCGCCCCTTATATTACTTTTTAAATAGATAAAGCCATTATCCCTGAACAAAAATTAGAAGTTTCAAGGAGCATTACGTAATATCTATATGCATTCAAAAGAATGGAGACCTTCCTTCCTTCTACTACCGAATCTATTCGTTGACCTTATTCCAAAAATATCATGTGTGTGTATAAACATGCATATGGCATTATAGTAGGCTGCAAGAAATGATACAATCCTTTAAGATGATGTAGAAGAACATTGAATGACATAAAGGTTTGACATGTTAAGTGAAAAAGTGTGTGATATAATAGTATGTAAACAGAGTATGGGTTTTTTTTAGACTTTTTTTTTTTTTGAGAGAGAGACAGAGAGAATGCAAACAGGGGGAGGGGCAGAGGGAGAAGGAAAGAGAGAATCTTAAGCAGACTCCACACTCATCATGGAGCCCAACATGGGGCTCGATCTCATGACCCTGAGATCATGACCTGAGCTGAAATCAGAAGTCAGACATTTAACTGACTGAGCCAACCAGGTGCCCCGTAGTATGGTTTTCTATTTACAAAAATTGTTATGTGTAGAGCCATAAAAAAAGGCAAAATAGCTACTCTGTGGAAGGTTGACAGCAGTTATCTTAGTGTAGTATAGGAATTATTGGTGATTTTTATTTTCTTCCTTACACTTTTGTGCTTTTCCAAGTTTATCTAATCAACATCCATCACTTTTGTAGTCAGAAATTAACTCACTTTTTGGAGAGATGAGATAGTTCTGAATTGGGAGAACTTAACTGAAGACTTTGAAACCAGCAAAGAAACATCTTTAGATCATTTACAACCATCCGGTACTCTCATTTTCTGCTTGCTGCTTCCCAGAGTTTAGTGTTTAGTGTAATAGGAAGAGTCTGGCATCGGGCATCTGAAAGCCTACTTCCTACTTTTCTCTTCAGTGATTTCTATCCCCCTTCTCCCAGAAAGAATTGGGGTTCCCAAACTCACTGTGCCACACTCTTTCCTGCTGTTACTCTGAACCCCCTTTTCCTCAGCTGTTACTCCGAACCCCCTTTTCCTCAGCCCCACCTGTCAAGTGATCGTGTCTTTCTCTCGAACTTACCTACCTCATGGGTTTAATGTGACAATAGATTTGAAAGTGTCTTGTCAACTCTAAAACCATAAGCATGGAAAAATCCTTTGGGGAGTAATCTTTGAATACCCCCATGATTTAAAAAAAAATAAATCTCATTCCACGTATTTGTGTCTCCTTCCTTCCCACTGTCACCTTTAGGGGAAGACACCTCAAGACAGAGCACAGCAGGCTGGAGACCCAGATTTGGCTGCATACCTAGAAAGCCGCCAGAACTATAAGATCATTGGCCATGAGGACCTGGAAACTGCTGTTTGACCCTGGTAGATTGCAAAGAGAACCTAAGCAAGCGCATCACCTGTGCCCTCCCGGCAATCGGGCAGCTCCCCTGGAAGAAGCTGATGGAATCCACAAATCTGTCTCTCTCTGCAAGAATCTATCTGAGACCATGCCACCAGTTATTAAGGGCTACCAGGATGTCCAACAGAACACGATAGCCCTCTGAGGAAGAGGCAGGGTACCTGGAGATTTGTGGAATACACATTCCACATAATTTGATCCTTATTGCTTCCAGCAAGTAGCATGAACTTCTGTGTTCACCTGTATAATTTATTTTCGAGATTCAAAGGATGTTCGTACAAATGGCACTGCTCCCTCCTCCCCCTATGCATTCACGACTCCTCTGTACCCCACAATTCTACTGCAACTACCCATCATTCAAAAAAAAAAAAAAGTAAATACGATCTGCTCTCTCTACATTCAGTCTTTGAAGACCACAAGGCACTCTGGAGGTCTCTGAAAACCCTCTGGATGTCCCGCGGAAACACAACTGTAAAGCTGCTTCTGTTTCCAAGATGAAATATGCAGAGACTATTAGTGACCGTCTGCATGTCTCCCCTGCCCTCCTCCCTCATCCCTTGTCATTCTGTAGGAGCTGGGACGTGCCACGTGGATAATGTCAACTTGTGTGCTGTACCTCTGCGGTATGGTGAGGTGGCATGGGAGGGGACCCAGGGCCCGGCCCTGGGGGCGGGGCTGTTGCTGATAGCCATGAAGGACTGGTTCAGCTGGGGCTGTTTGCACAGCCCCGTACTGCCTACGTGTAGCCATCTTTGCCTTTTGCTGCGATGTAGACGATAAGAGGCCAGCACAGGATTGAACGAAGGCCCACGGCTGGTTTGGCGGAACCGCTGGATTTTAAGTGCGGTTGAAGGTGCTGAGCAGAAAACCACGTGTGGGGACTGTGGTTCCAGGAAATGGAGCACTGTGACTGCGTTCCCTTCCAGACTTTCTCTAGTGATAATAGAAAGCAGACTAACTGACTTGAAATAAAACAGCCAAGGCAAAAGCAGCAACATATGTCAAAATAACTCACTTAAGCAAGAAAACAGTTGTGGGCATGTTGCACAGAGGCTAATAAGTAGAGACTCTTGGGTGTAGTGGTGAGAGGGGGCCCATTTTAGGTTTCCCTTCTAAGTGTTTGGTTTTCACTACCCCGAGTAAGCCTTGTCCCAAGGACAAAGCCTTGTTTTATGAGTTCCACTGCTGGATTTCCAGGACGGCTGGATCTTCCCGATGGACGTCTCACCTTTTACTTGTCAGGTCCCAAGATTATACCTGATAGCACTGTAACCCCACTTCTTACATACGGGGTTGTCTAATCTATTCTTTTCTTCGTTTCCCCCTACCAGGAAATTCTTAGTACAAAACCACTGTGGGAGCTGAGCCAGAAATGTGTCTCTGGCGTTGGAATTATGACTTCGAATCCGGCCACGGATCAGTTGGTACTTACAGGTCCCTCCAGTAGGGACTCTGTGATAACTAAAAGAGCAGGAGGAAAAGGCTCCTAACTTTCAGTGAAGAGGCCTACTTGACGTGGGTAGGAGTCAGAAACACAAGTGGGTGATCCAAAGTTGTTTCAGACTAAAGCTGAGGTCTTCTGAGCTTTCTTCCATTTTGCTCTTAGACACAAGCAAAGTGCTTCCCTGGTGTCTCTGCATGTGAACACATAAATGATCGTATTTCTGCATTTACTTTAAAGGTCCAGTGGTGACGCACTGCTTACCTGAATTGCATTTTGGTCACCTATCATTTTGAGAGGACAGATATGAGTACTGTATTAAGGAGGAATAGCTTCTCTGTGGGTGGGGATGAAGCATCTCTTTAGCCTTTTCAAAATCAAACTATTGGTGTTATTTCCAGTGGGGGGAGAATAGGTTGGTTATGAGTAATCTATTTCCATCTATCAGTCTTAGAAATGGAATTACCTGTTGGGTTTTATGGGGAGGTAAGGAGGAGGGTAGTATATTGTTTCCAGAAACTGGAAAAAATAGGCTCCAGGAGAATTTAATCACTGGGCTTCATCTGGGAGTTTTTCAGTTGGTGGGACTGTCAAAGAGATGTTGTGATGACAGAAATATAATCCTTAAAACAGACTGGAATCTGGCTTTGAATGGTGCCTTCCATCCCCTAGATTAAGCCAAACAGTTGGCCACACAGTCAGTTACCCAGCTGCCATTTCTGGGATAAAGGACTATTTTCACCAACTACCATCTCATATTTCTTTGTGATGCTTCAAAGCAGCCCAGAGAAAACTTAGGGTATAGATGGCTACAGGCCAATTTAAATAGGTCCAACTGAAGTCACAAGTAAATTCCTGGTATGAAAATAGATAAGGTAATGACTACTATAGGGGTTCTGGTACATTTGGAAATCATTCCAAGCCAAAAAAAGTCCTACATTATGGATGGGAAACTATGTACAACAAGCAAATATCTCTTTGAAAAAGCAAACACCCTCAGGACTTGGGTTTTCCGAGGAAAGGACATCAAAAATGAACGGAACAGTTACATATTTAATGGATTCAATATTAAACCTACCTCCTGTAGCATTTTTTAAAATTGATCACTGCATGGGACAGTCCTGGCCTTCAGAAAGAGCTGAGGCCGTATGCTCCAAGAGTTTCCAGCTCAGCTCAAGTATAGAGTCTCCCCTTTAATGGGCCATCAGAAAGGGTAGAAGCCAATGGTCTGGCCCTGGTCTGGATCTGTAAACCCACAAACGTTTAATTTAAAAGACATGACACTGTATACTCACAGAAATACCATTTTCTACAAAACCTCCCGGGACAGTACTGGAGCATGGCTGGCTTAGCTGCCAATCCTCTGTGTTTGGCTCAGAAGAGCCCCTCATGGGCATTCCATTTGTGGGTTTGGTTGACAGGGAGGGGTATGAGAAATGGAGAGTTATTACAAGACCACATGAGAGAACCTTAAAGGTAGTCATTTTCGGAGCCCTATATTCCAGGAGTACACATTTAATGAAATAGAACCCAGTTTAGAACCCAGCTTCACCTAGTTAAGCTGTGCTTTATCACATTCAAGGACTGATTAAAAACAACAACAACAACAACAAAAAAAAAACAGAAGCCAAGAAGGAAATAAATACCATGGCCGCAAATCTCACTTTGAGAGTTCTGGTTACCTCTATGGAGGCTATAACCTAAAACCCATGCAATTTCTGAAGAAGAGAATTTAGCTGGCAAGTGCACAGCCATGACATTAGTGACAGCCCCCCCTAGCCCATTGTAGTAGCTGGCCTTAGCAATTAGGCCGATGTGTTTACATTGGGAGATACTCAACAGGCAGTTTGCATTTGGACCTTGTAACCATTTCTTTGCCTAAAGGATTTCTGAAATGTATTTCCTAGACTTCTCGTAATATCCATGTTTTATAATATGTGGGGCAGCAGTTTTATTTTTTTACATGTCAATTTTATTTCACATGTTTAGTTTTTTTTTTTATCATAAAGATAGGACATGCTTTTTATTAAAAAAAAAAAAAGTTCTAATAGCACAGATGAGAATCACAGGCAAGGCCAAGATGTTCCTCTGTGCTCATGTAGTGGCCTGAGTCCCACACCCCAGAGATAAACAGTGTTAACACTGATCAGCATTGTTGCTTGTATGTTATGTCAGAAAGACTCTGTGCACACAGCCCCCCCACACACACACATATAGAAATGTATTTATTTGTATACATAATATACAAATATATAATATATATATATACTATACATACATTATTGCATAGGTTTCCAGTAGACAAAACATTTTAGAAGCATGCTAATCATCTCTCTATGTATAGTTAACACCAACAGGCAAAGACAAGCTAACAGGAATTCTTCATTTATTCTTTGTTGTTTTTACTGCTGCTAAGCTCAGTTCTCTTATTGCAGCCACTCCAATTACACATGGCTTTTGCTATTGCCTGTGTCATAAAATCCATGACCAAGAGGTCTTATAATTTTTTATGTTACCTTCCATGAAGCATGAGACCTACCTGAGCCCAGAGACTTGTCTGTGCTGTTTTTGGATCACAGATGGAAAATTTCTTTCTCTGTCATGCTCATTCCACTTTACAAGGCTGAGTTTGCAGGGCTAACACTCCATACATTGCCTAATGATATTTAATGAGGGCAAGCTGCTGCCAGGAAGGTGTAGGAACTTGGGTATGGGCTGGGGTCTGAGGAGCTTGGCTTCCTTCCAGTAGGAGTAGCTCATGAAAATCACTGAAAACAGCACCATCTTTTATTCAGTTATGCTGTTTAAAAATAAGATGGATCATTGTTGAAATGATGCATCATAGCCATCAAATAAAACTAATTGCTCTACTTAAATGGATTATTTTCAGTTCAGGTAAGAAAAAAATAGAACATCTATTAAATGAGAGGCTTTTCTAACTGATTTTTAACATTTATTTGTATAAAATCATTTCTGCCCAGGTCTCATTAGAACCTTCTCTGAATCTGTCTACTTTCTCATTCTCTGAATTCCATATTCAGCTGATTACTGTAGTTTTTTTCTCTGTCTGGTCTCTCAGATGGACTTTGGCCCCGTCCCTTTCTGTGTCCTGGTCTTGACTCATCTCTAGTCCCTCCAGTTTCTGACCATGACAAGAGTCCTCCTGGACTTTTGGCCACCACCTTCAGTCATTTTGTCATACAGACACCCAAATCTTCTGCAGGTATTCTGCTCAGAACAGATCAGAATGAAATTACCCTCTGGGACAAGTATCCATTTTGCCTGAAGGACAAATAGATGTCCACTGACTTTGATCATCTTACAGAGCTACAACATGCCTTATTCTGAGAAGCCATCTGCCATAGAGGTTTAGCACACGTCTGTCTCAGTTCCACCGTGGGTGTCCACAATCATGGCAGCTTCTTCCACATCCGGTGACGTAAACCATGTACTCCCCTAAGTCACCTAGATGAACTGGATTAGATACGTGTTATACCCCTAGTGGCCATCCGTGGGTTTTGGGCTGTCTCCCCACAGTTTACTGAGAAGCCTAAAAATAGGAACTAAGCAAGGAGGAGTGCCCTCGGAAAACCTGCTCTCCCAGGACACATAGCACGGACCTGGTCCCAAAAAGAAAGCAGAAAAAAATAATTCTTAGGCTGTTGAAGCATTGTCGTTTAAAGTAGAAATTTGAATATTGAATGGTATCCTCATGGTAGACAGATTCCAGAGTCTATATATGTATTCAGGCATTCTGCATGCAATCATATGTTCATGAGTCAAGCATACATTCATATATTTAATCATTTATATTAAAAAAATTTTATCCCTTATTCTGATGCAGGCAGCATGCTAAGGATCTAAGAATGAATGCAAGAGCCAAAACTCTTGACTTCACAGAGCTGGCAACCTAGGGGAAATGCACATGGTACCAGGGAAGCGTGCACTGGGGAATCCATCAGGCCTTTATCGTGCCAGTCACTCTTCAGCCAGCAATGTTTGGGCTCTATGAAATATGAAATGAGAATATGAATATGAAAGAAGTGATATTTTGCATTTCTTTTTCCTAAGAGTCTTGGTCCTGTTCTTCAAAAGGTATTTGCAACCAAGACTTTAAGATGAGACAGAAATATGACTCAAATGAGAGCTAAAACTCATGCTATTTCTCAAGGACGAAACTAGAAGCAATAGGCAAAATTTGCAGTGGGTTTTGACTGAATACAACAATGAAGTATAAATATTGTCCAAGAGTGGAGTGGGCACCCTTACAGAATTCCATGTGTTCAGCCCATGGGACTGTTTGAACAGGGGCTTCCTGACCACCTGGAAGGATGCTGTGATTAGGGACCTTTATCCAAGGGGCTGGAATCAGATGCTGTGAGTTTTTGAAGTTTTTTTTTTTTTTTAAATGATGAATGGCAGAACTTCATTTTTTAAATTTTTGAAAATCTTGATTTTTAATCTTTAAAACACCACATTGAGAGGAAAAATCTGGGAGAGAATTACTTTTGGTTATCATTAAAAAAATTTTAAACCAACTAAGCCTGAATTTAAGAGCTAGTGCAAAGCAAACATACTAAGGGGTCTAACTTACTCCAAAATGCTTCTGGAAGCATCACGGATTTTGATGACTCTTCTTAGGCATTCTTAAGTCATATTGGAAATTGGTTTTCTCACAATTAAATGTAATCTACTATAACCACAGAAGAAAATTTTGCCTAAAAGGTATTTGGGATCCAAGTAACAGACACAAAAGACAATCATGGAAAATGGCTTTGCTTCTGCTGCAGACATGATAACTGCTAGGGAGCACTCACCCATGGAGATAAGTGATGATTCTGAACGTTTTCCAGAGTTTTCATATTTTGAGCCAAATGGCATCTGAAAGGGATCCCTTCGTGGTGGGAACAACTGAAACGATCTTGTTTCTCAATCTTTTAGTGAAACACATATAGCTTTCAATAGAAAATAGTTTAAACACCTCAAATGTATACTGCTTACTGTTATTATACTGTTTATTACAATTTCAGTAATTTTTAAAATTTTAGTGTTTTAACATTTCGATGCCCTTGTGACAGCTTTGAACTTCGGTACAAACCCATGAGGTGGATCGTGCAGATCATTTTAGATGAATAAACCAAATCTCAACACACTGTATTCAACTTGTGCAGATTCATATAGTAAATGGTAGAACTGCCGTCAGAACTGACATCTCTACATATTGCAGACTAACACATCCACGGTAGATGTTTGCTAAGTAAACAGTTTCCCACCCTAGCCTTCACTGCTGTTTTACATCATGCAGATTTCCATAATTTAGAAGGTGCCTCCTTGAAAAGATAATGACTTAGCATCCCACAATAAGAGTTGGGTAGAACTGAGGGAAAATATGAAGTTAAAAATCAGAGTTTTTGCTATCAGAAGCTTATCAGGTTGGGCAAAGTTCAAGGGGAAAAAGGTCAAATGTTTTGGTGCTGGGGGGCATTTCACGAGAAGCTAATACTGAGGATGACTTCCTGGTTTCTCTATGAGTCTCAACATTTAAAAATGTTAGTATTGTCCTCTCTCCTTGGAAGTCTCTATTGGAACGATATTTTGGAATTCTGTACCAAAAAGTGTTGAAAATGGGCTTGCCATTCAAGACCTCTTTGCTCTAAGCAGGTGGGCATGCAAAGCTATGTCTGTCCTACTGTCACGTACACAGAGGTCTGATACACCTGTGGGAAGTTCTGTTGACCTTGATATGGGAAGAATAAACAGACCAGAGAGATTCTTCAATTCCTGCTTTCATCTTTTATAAGGCACCTCGGCGGACAGATCAGTGACTATGTAGAAGAAGGATGTTTGATCTTGAAAGAGGACAAAGTTAGATCAGGAACAGAAATGTTTGGAGGAGACGGGTGAAGTAGAATGGTGAGATTTAGGTTCTCTAGGGCAGACAATTTGCAGAAGAAAGCAAAGACAGAAGAGTTCAGAACAGAAATGAAAAGGAGGTGGCTTTATTACTTCTAGAAGGATTTCTTTTTTTCCTAAACATTACATCCAGAAAAATGGATGGGGTTTTCTGAAAAACAAAGTGACTTACTGTAGCTAGGGTTTTTTCTAGTATTTCAGTGAAAATTAAACAACCAAATGAGGGAACAGGAAAAAGCCCTTCCTTAACTGTGAGGATGCTTAGACTAAAAGACTTCTGTGATATTTTCTAGTTTTGGATTTCTGTGATTTTTGGATTCAAGCAGAACTCATTTAGAACCCTAAGCCTCTCTAGGTTCCTGCCATGTAGATGGCAATTAAAGCTTTTTTGTAAAAACACTGGTCATTGCAAATATATCCCAGATCATTGAGAAGCAGGTATTTCATGACCCTAAAACAATTTGCTTTGCTTACATACACACCTGCACGTTTGCACGTGCGTGCACACTCACACACACACACACATACACACACATAACTCTCTTTGTCTGTTGCTAGCCAATTTCCAAATCTCTTGAGTAAGATATGTTTCTACTAAGGCAGAACAGTCACAGGTTCAATAATTAAAGAGAAAAAAAAAGGATCTAGTGCTCATTTTCCTACTTTCTACCCATTTGTTGTTTGGGGTATGTGGTTGTGGCTGGGGCTTGGAGAAGGGGCAGAAGATCTCTATTTTCTGGTAAAGAGGCATAGAGACAGTTTTTATAACTTATTGCCATTAAGTAGGACTTAATCTTATATCACTAGACTAGTGTTGCTATAATGTTTGTGGACTATAGTTTTTTTAAGCCCATTTTTTAAATCTTTTTTAAAGATTTATTTATTTTTAGAGCATGCGTGCATGAGTTGGGGGAGGGGCACAGGGAGAGAATCTTTCAAGCAGACTCCCTGCTGAGTGAGGAGCCTGATGTGGGGCTCAGTCCCACAACCCATGAGATCACGACTCCAGTTGAACCAAGAGTCCCATGCTTAACTGACTGAGCCACCCACGGGTCCTGTGGACTATAGTTTTAATTGCCTGTCCTCCCTTTCTTCCATAATAAGACCTGAGTTCCTAGATTTCAGGTTGGCTTGATGGAAGGCACCATTGAGATAGTCTTAAAAAATGGACTTTTATCTGGATTCTTCCTCAGAAAATGCTCCCACTCCACCTTCTCCCCCACCTCTTGCCCCTGAAGGTAAAGGAAGAACAGAGATATGAGCAAAAAAGATTCTCAAGAGTAGTACAATAATAAGGCTCCAGTCTTCACACAAATTGCCATGACAACCCACACATAAATAATATATACCCTCAGCAAACTTTGATCCTCATGAAAAGCAAATTCAGAAGATGTAGAAAAAGATTAACTTGTTCAAAGTGGCTTCAAGGAATATCATGAAATTTTCAATCTATGCAGCTTAGAAGAATTATGTGTGGAATTTAGGGGAGGAGAGAGTTCCTATAATAGAACTCTAATAGAGCTTTCCTCAGGACTGGGTTGTTTGTTGAAGGACTTTCTCTACGTGCTCATAGGAGGTTAGACCTGTCCACAGATTTGTGATGTTCTATGGTAAAATTTGAGAGAAATAAGGACGACTTAGGGTTTTTTCATAAGTCTAAATATATTCAATCCTTAGAAATTCAAAGGCTAACTTTTTTTTTTATTTTGGGGGTTACATATAACCTTTCTTCTTAAAATTATAGAATAGGAGATGTTTACAAATTGTTTTTACTTGTAAAAATAAACCGATGACAGCTCTAAATTGGTTTACCTTATATTTTGTTTTAAATTTATGGGTAACCCTGTGAGATATGTTGGTGAGATTTATCATTTTTAAGATGCTATCCAGCTTTGATATTTACTGCACCTTGTATAAGGAATCCAAATAGTTCCTGACCTTTTGGGTTTTATTAACACTTCAATTTTTCATTCCCTGCCCTCCATTCCTTATTGGTTCGACTGAGGCTCTGACCACATGCCTAATTTCCAATGCGATTAGAACTCAGTTCTATGCTTGCTAACATCCTGATTGTGGGCTGGGAAGTGTGGGTTTCTTGCTATCCTGGGAAATGAGATTCAGAACTTTCATAGACAAAATATTCTAGCACAATAGAATATTTTGCAACTCATGTCTTTAAGAAGGTAGAGTCTGAATTAGTCTCAGTAAAGGTTAGCTAGTCTGTTTTTTTTTAAATTACTATTTATTTATTACCAATGGTTAAGTAACAACCATGAATCTGAATATAATATGGATCACAGCTGATTGAAAGTGGGGCAAACCATTCCTGTAAAGAGTTAAGGAACAGAGGACAATCTCAGTTCCGTACAAATGAATATATTTCGTTGAATTTGATTTCTGAGTGGGAAAAGATTCTTAGGCACCCAGAATACCCTTGGCTGTGGGTAGTTCACTCTCAGAGTCTACATCTGTATGAAGAGTTTCAGTCACATTATAAAGGGCTCTTTCATGATTTCTGATTCTGCCCTATCACATCCCAGAGCCATGCTTTTGCAAAGCTGCCAGCTAGCAGGTGGAATCCAAACAACAACAAAAAAGTAGCAGCTGTGGCAGTAAGTTGATGAAGTTTTATTTCCAGGTGAAGTGGGATCCAGAGAATATGAAATGGAGGGGGGGGGGTGGGAAGGGGGGGTGGGGAAGGGAAGAATGGAGTTTTTTTTGTAACAAAGTCATAAAGTATTTTTCCCTAATTTTCTTGCATTTCCTATTTATATAAAGTATCTTGATCACTGTGTTGCTCTACAGAGATTTTCAACGGAATTAATTTGGGAGACTGAACTAATCTCTGAAAATGAAATTGACTAGTTACAGTTACTTTTTGGACACTTTTTCTGTATTGTGAATTGTGTGGAAATGTACAGAATAAAAATTAAGAAACATAACTAGTTTCTTTTCTTCTCTTACTGGCTGCTAGATGTAGATGGTATGAGTACTGTCCTTAACAGTGGTTAAGTTAGATTTTCAATATCAGGAACTAAGCAAAGATTGGCTGTTAGACAAGGCATAAACTAAAAGGGATCCCTGACAAGGCAGAAGTTAAAAAAAAAATATTTCTTCTTTCAAGATGGACTAATAGAAGCCAGACTGACCCTCCCACTTGAAATAAGAACATCTATATATAAAACAGTGATTGTTAAGACACCAGGCATTAGGCAAAAAAAGACAGTGATCCCTAAGAGATGGCTGTCAGCTGCATGACTACGCCGTTTTACAGACTTTGGAGTTTCCAGACAGTGGCTCAGGGAAGGGTAATTCAGGCAGAGCCTGGCAGATTTCTTGAGTTGGGGAGACCAAGGCAACTCAAACTTATAGAGCGGAGTATCAGGAAAGTGCACAGAGAACCCCACATATCTGAGGAGACCCCCATTTAGGTATTCAGTAAAACATTTGCCAGTGTGTGTGTATGTGTGTGTGTGTGTGTATGTGAGAGAGAGAGAGAGAAAAAAGGGGGAGAGAGAGAAAGAGAGGGAGAGAGAGAGAGAGAGACCCACCCAGACTTTGGAGAACCATCCCAAATGCTGAGAAAGAACAACGACCAATGCTCACACCTGACTGGGAATAATGCCCTTTGCCACGAGCCATGCTGCACCCTTACCATCTACTCGGCCACAGCTTTTTATTTCTTAATAAAAACATTACAAATCTCCTGCTTCCACTCTGGTCCCTTTTCTTGCACATTCTGGCTACATTGGCAATCACCATAAGGGTTTCGTGTGAATCTTAACACATCCCCATCTCATCTCCCTTCTTCCACTTCTCAACTTCTGTTAACTACATTCCCTGTCACAGATGTGCATTTTATTTTGTTTTTACATTTTTTAATTCCAGTATAGTTAACATACAGTATTATATTAGTTTCAGGTGTACTACATAGAGATTCAACCATTCTATATATCACTTGGGGCTCATCACATAAGTGTGCTCTTAATCCCCTTCACCTCTTTCACCCATCCCCCCACCACCTCCCCTCTGGTAACCACCAGTTTGTTCTCTATAGTTAGAGTCTGTTTCTTGGTTTGTTTCTCTCTTTGTTTTCCTTTGTTTTATTTCTTATATTCCCCATATGTGTGAAATCATATGGTATTTGTCTTTCTTTGACTGGCTTATTTTGCTTAGCATAATTCTCTCTAGCTCCATCCATGTTGTTGCAAATGGCAAGATTTCATTCTTTTTTATGCCTGAATAATATTTCATACACATACACACACACACACACACCACCTTTTCTTTATCCATTCATCTATTGATGGACATTTGCACTGCTTCCATAGTTTAGCTATTGTAAATAATACTGCAATAAACATAGGGATGCATATATCCCTTAAATTAGTTTTTTGTATTCTTTGGGTAAACACCCCCAATAGTGTAATTACTGGATTGTAAGGTAGTTCTATTCTTAATTTCTTGAGGAACCTCCATACTGTTTTCCACAGTGGCTGCACCAGTTTGCATTCCCACCAATAGTACAAAAGTGTTCCTTTTTCTCCACATTCTCACCAACACTTGTTTATTGTGTTTTGCTTTTAGCCATTCTGACAGGTGTGAGGTTTTATCTCATTGTAGTTTTGATTTGCATTTCCCTGATGATGAGTGATGCTGAGCATCTTTTCATGTGTCTGTTGGCCATCTGGATGTCTTCTTTAGATAAATGCCTGTTCATGTTTTTGGTCCATTTTTAATTGGGTAACTTGTTTTCTGGGTATTGAGTTGTATAAGTTCTTTATATATTTTGGGTACTAACCCTTTATCAGATATGTCATTTGCAAATATCTTCCCCATTCATAGGTTGTCTTTTAGTTTTGTTGATTGTTTCCTTCACTGTGCAGAAGCTGTTGATTTTGATACAGTCTACAGATGTACATTTTACATTCTATTTTGTACTGATGTTAAAAATTCTACATGTTGTCAATTTTTTGAATTCTAAGATTTGAAAGTTAAGAACATGGACATTTATTAGCATGGCAGGTTAATGTGTTTCTCAGAGGCAAATATTAAGCTATGTTTACATTTTTTTCTGAAGCTTTTCAAGGCCAGGATCCCAATGCCAATGAAAGACAATGCTTCTGTCGTTCAGATCAAATCATTTTTCTTACTATTTTTTTAGATTGCTCTGCTTCATATTTGGACATTTCGATACTGTTTTTTCTTTCTTTTGGTGTTGGTTGTCTTTGTTTTTGTTGAAAGATACAACACACACACACACAATTTTTTCATTATGTCTCTAGTATCATCGATCTCCCTTGTCATTCTGGAGTCCATTTCATTCTTTCTTCTGAAGGCATCTCGGAGTCCACTGGCTTCCTGTTCTAATTTTGATGAACTTTTTCCTAGTCATGCTGTACAATTATCATCTTACGCTTTTCTTCTTTGGACTTCTGCATTTGTCTTATCACTTTTTAAAATTTTTTTATTTTTTATTTATTTGACAGAGAGAGCACAAGCAGGGGGAGAAGTAGAGGGAGAGGGAGAAGCAGGCTGCCCACTGAGCAGGGAGCCTGATGGGGGGCTCGATCCCAGGACCCCAGGATCATGACCTGAGCCGAAGGCAGATGCTTAACCATCTGAGCCACCCAGGTGCCCCTGCATTTGTCTTACCACTTTTGACTCACATATTTCTTAGTTTCTTGATTTGCTGGAGTATAGTCACAAATTACTTCTTAAAACTAAGCACTAGTTTCTTGATTTGCTGGAGTATAGTCACAAATTACTTCTTAAAACTAAGCACTAGGGAAATCAATTCCCTGAGTTCTTGCATGTCTGAAGATGGCTGTTTTGTCTTTTACTTAAAGTTTGTCTGACTTTGGGATTCCAATTGTGATATTTTTCATTAGAAATCTGGAGAATCTTAGGAAGA